ATTGTGAGTGGGTATGAAGATGGCTTGCTTTGAAAGCTGCTCAACCACAATGAGGATGGCAGTAAAGCTGGTTGAGGCCAGGAGTTGTTCTATGAAATCCATCATAATGGAGTTCCATGGCTTCTCTGGAACAGGGAGTTGCTTGAGTAGGCTGTAAGGCCAGTGGCAGGGTACCTTGGCCAGGGCACAGGTAGTACAGCATTGGACATAGTCCTTGACAAATGTCCTTAGGCTGGGCCAAGTGTATTCACACCAGATGAGCTCTAAGGTTCTATTTTGGCTGAAGTGGCTGGACAAGGGGTGGTCATGCTTGAACCTCAAGACATGAAGATAAAGGTCATTTGAGTCCAGTATATAGATTCTTCCATCTAGGTGGAGGAAGCCAGTGTCATCAACTGACCACAGGGAATTTGATGTGTCTGAGGACCAGATTTGGGTGACCAGGTCTGAGGGTAGAGCTGAGAGGATAGCATTATGTAGTTTCTCCATGTCCATTAGTGCAACTGCACATAGGACTGGGTACTCAAGGTAGGTGGTGTGCAGGGAAGTGGCTAGTTGTTCCTGTGTGAAGACCAGTCTGAGATTCTGTGGGTTGATCCAGGCATAGTCACTATCCCCCTCTTTGGGGTAGACATCCCATTGTCTAGTTAGGGCATCAGGTTTAGCCCCAAGTTTGCTGGGTCTGAACCAGATGATCATATTGAACTGGGACAGAAACTCAGACCAATGCACCTGGCACTGGGTAAGCACCTTTGAGGTGGAGAAGTACTGCAGGTTCTTATGATTGGTGACAATGTCAACCAGTACAGCAGAGCCTTCCAAATAATGAATGTGTTCACCAGGAACACAAACCCATTCACACCCAAGCACATCAATTGCATCATCAGACATGTCAAGATCAGCAACAATCTAACACCAAATGAACAGAAAAGAGGTCATAGAACTACTGACTGAATTTGCAGATGTATTCACATGCTCCCTCAGTGAAGTATCACCAATCCCTGTAGTGTGGGTCAACTTGAACCTACTGGGCAATGCATTGTTCAACACCATTGTATGCCAACAACCAATGAACCCCCCACAACAGCAGTTTATGAACAAATTGGTTGACCAAATGCTTGAGGCCAGACTAATCAAACATGCAAACATCCCCCAGATCAAACACATTGCACCCACAGTTCTGCCACAAAAAATGCCACAGAGGCCATGACACTTGACAACATACAACAAGAACTGAACTGTCAATGCATGGAAGCAAACATACCACAACTATTCAAGGAACAAATGAATATGCAAGAAAAAGAGCAAACCATGCCAAAAGGAACAGGAGAAGCACCAAAATGGAGGGTAATGCAAAACTTCATGGAACTAAACAAGGCCTCACAAATACCACCAATGTTCCAAAGAGACATTAGAGCAAAACAACAGCAACTGAGTGGGCACAGGCACATGTCTGTGTTCAATTTTGCATCCATGTTCTACATGATTGAAGTCCCAGATAAATGGCAGTCATACTTCATGTTCTTTGTTGATGGAAGGAGCTACTTTTGGTACACAAGAATGGCAATGGGTAGAAAAAGAACTTGCAGAAGGCACCCTAGAACTCTTTGTGGACAATGTAGGATGCAGCAACAACACATTCAGAGGAATGGTAGCACAACTAAGGTGAATACTACAACAGTGTAGAGAACACAGCCTATCACTATTTTTGATGAAATGCCAACTTTTCATGACAGAAACAATGTTCACAGGAGCTACAGTAGGCCCACAGGTTGCACAGCTGGACCTATCAAAACTAACAGCAATCATGAACTAGAAACAACCTGACAATGCACTCAATCTAACATCATTTCTAGCACTCACAGGACACTTCCATGACCTCATCAAAGGATATTCCAAAATGGAAGGACCACTATGTGACCTAACAAAACAGGTGGACATCCCTAAGCCCATTTCTAAAGTTACATATCAAAAGGCAATGACTAACTACAAGCTGGCAGATAAATGGGTGTCATATACCAGGCAGACTGATGTCTCAGTCTTGCACCACAAATACCAAGTCAGTGCCAAATGCTGATGTCACTTTGTTTCCTTGTTGTTCTTTTCTAGTTAGATCTTGTGCCACCCTTGCTTATACCAAGGCAGTGTCTGTCACTGGCTTCCAGCCTCTACTTTCTACATTGCTCACTTAACCTTTAGTTAGTTCCTTGCATCACTGTTTAGCCTCTCACCAGTAACCCTGGCCTTTGGGTTACCAGTCCTTGGTATATATACTCTATGCACTCTGTATTTAGCTCTCCAGTCTGATTATTGAATTAGTCTCCCCCTGAAACCTTTAGCCTAAGTACAAGTTGACTTTTGGCTTTCACATCTGCCCCCCCTTGGCTTACTCTCCAATTTCAACCTGGCTTGCACAAGAGTCTAGCACACAAGCTAGACTAAGGGTTGCTGTGCCTGACCTTCAGCACTCAGGCCTCAGTCTTCCAGTCCAGCCACAGACTTAACAATGGGAACAGAAACACACTGACACCTTCCTAAGGCTGAAAGTTGTTCTGACAAGCCAACCAACATTACATGCACTGCATTACAACAGTACACTGTTCATTATAACCATGAGAAGGATTCATGGCAGTACTAACACAAAAAACAGAAGTTCAGGTGCCAAATGGCAAAACAGTAGAGCAAACAGTACCCATCACATTTGTGTCCAAAAGAACCTCATCAGCTGAGCAAAAATACAAACCATTTCTGTTAGAATTCACAGCACTAAAATATGGCCTGGACTGTTGCAGACATAATTTGGGGATACCCAATAGAAATTGAAACTGACTGCAAAGCACTAAAAGACATCCTGTCCAACAGCTCAATCTTGGCCACACATGCAGGGTGGTGAGATGGCATAGTCATGCACAACATAATAGCTGTAAGACCTGTACCAGGATATCTGAACATAGTAACAGACAGTGTAGGGAGCTGTATACTCCCTGAGGCTGAAACAGGAATCTGTCAGTAAATTCCACTGCCTCTGTGACAAATCACTATCACTCTACACTTTTGGAATTCTTCCCACTTGTGGCCTCATGTTTCCTCCCAACCTTCAGCATGTTGGCCAGTCATTGATAAGCTGATCTGGAAATTCCACATTCTCCCAGAGTCATCTGGAATTCAGTAGCCAAGCCACCACCCAGCCACATCTCCACTCATCTGTGCCAGTCACCTCTAAAAAACTCTGGTTGTCCCTGTTGCCCCAAATTCTGCAAGCCATTCTTTGTGCCAGTAGGCTCTGCCCTCCTGCACTTCCACCTTCCCACCAGCTCCACCTCTCACCTGTACACATATTGCAAGCCCACATGCACTTGAAGGTCATTCTTGGTGATGTAGTCACTGATGTAGTATGTCAGGGCTTTAGCAGTGGTACTGGACCTGATATGCTTAATATCCATATTGCACTGCAGCAGAAATGAGACAATGACATTGTAATTATTCATGTGAGGGGGCAGATGGTGAAGCAAAATAGTTTCTGTCTCTGGATCAACATATGAATGTTCTCAAACAGATCTGTCAATGTGCATGCAACATGTCATACTGCTGTCATAACCATGCCTCAACCCTGGCCATACTGGGCCTTGCACTCATCCAGTCTGGCCTCAGCCTTGCCAAACACCTACCTCCAGTTGGTCTAGCATGGTTAGCACTGCAAAGCAATGCTGGTATGAAGTGTCATCTCAGTTGAGCCCAACCCAGCCTTATCCCTGGTCCACCCTTGTCTCTGTCCTGGTCTCCAGTTGTCTTGGTCATACATTACTAATACTATTCTTACCAATTGTGTTAGTGATCTTTGCAAGAATGGCATTACCTGTCTCCATACTGTAGTTTTTCTCTAGTATATAACCCATAGTTACATGACCTGTACCTCTCCAGTGTGAAATAAAATAAGCCCTATCTGATATCCTCTTCTTGGCCTCAGACTCAGACTGAAACCCATGCAAGGGAATAGTGCTGCATCCTCAGTCACTAAATCCAATCAGTTCACCCTCTGATCCTGACCCTTTGGCCTCACATACTCACTTCAGTCTCCAGTCCAGTCCCAAACCCAGACACCATGGACTTGACAACTGCAAGTGAAAGAAGTCCTCATCTATGTCATCCACACAAGGGGGGGCAAGCAACCACAGATCCTCTGTGTCCTCCCAACAATGGGGTTTTCTTGAGTTGCTGCACAATAAAAACATGTTCTTGATGGTTGTCCCCAGCAGCTCACATTTGATGAGATCCTCCAACCACTGCAAAACTTCCTCTTCAAATGTGGGGCTCTCCAGCATCAAAGATTGCAGATGTTCTGGATTTGGATTTCCATCTACCCACAACAACATATGGCAATGAAGTGTACCATGTCCCTGGGCCTCCACTGTTCCATAAAACCCTGAACATTCCCCAAACAGTCCAACCACCCTGCTGTGTTTGACCACAATGTGAAGAAAGCCCTGAATAATGCACTCAAACACCTGTGTGGCAGTGCCTGGATGGGAGGCAACAAAACTTGTATGATCATATGCAGAAAGGGAACACCAGCAAGACACTTCCATCCCCCCAAAATGCCCTACAAGAACAGTGGTGAGATCATGTGGGTTTAACATCACAAAAAATGCAGGTGTACCTAATCTGCAAATGAGCAATGTATCTCTTTCTATCTACATAACTTGTAGGCATCACTGCCAGGCAAGGTTCTGGAAATGATGCTAAGCTCACAGAATAACTGCAACACCCAATGCTCACCTGGTGAGACAACCTTGGTGTGTGCATTGCACTTGAATTTCTGCATGAGCTAGCACACATAACCCTTGTTCTCATGCAACTCTTTGACCAGAGGGTGGTGACATGCAGATGGAATGCAAAACTTGGTGTTATTATTTGCTGCACATTTCTGCATAATGTTCCAACAGATGAATGCAAAGGAAGGATCTCACATAAAAGGCAAGTCAACCTGGTGTAACAGATTTCTAACCTGCCATTGGAATGACAGATGCTGGCCTGGCTCCCAAGGTAGATGGTTGAAGCCCCTGATACCCTGCAGATCCAAATGAGGAAACAGTGCACTCAGAAAACATGGAGAATCATTGCCAAGAAATTGGGAACCTGAATGACTAACAACAAACTTCTCACCTTGAAATGCATGGGCAAGGGCTCCTGCCTTTATTGCCTGACATGAATGCTCCAAGTGATCACCCAGGGTATAGGCCACACACTCCATGACATGGGCATTGCACCTGCATCATGCAGGTGTGTAATTTGCATCCCAACCAACAAACCCACCTCACTGGCACCAACCACCAAGGACTCCAAAATATCCTGTGAAAATGTGATGCCATTGGCCTTATACCACATGTTGTGAGCAACAAGCCACTCAATTAATGTCTGAACCCTGCTCTTACCCACAAGCACCAGAGGAAATTTGTGTAAAGCATCCAAAGTTGGATGATAAGCACCACCAGAAAACACAACACACATCATGCCCTCAATCTCAGCAGTGGTTGGGGGGAGTACTGTTTGCAAGGCACCAGGATCCTGCAGCAGTATTGCAACATTTCCTCTATTAAAGTGCTGGCTCACTCCCTCTGGAAAATGACCTCCACATGCACCCTTTGTCTGATAATGATGGGTAATCATGGTTGCACAAGCCAGCACAATCAGCTGTAGCTCAAATTGACTGGTACATGCCAGTGCAGATTTCACATCCACAGGTTGCTCACTAAGGCCATAGTACTGAAAGTTTGCAATCACATCTTTCAGCTGCCTCAGTTTCAGTCTGCTCAAGGATCTGCAAAACAGCATGGGCACATATATGAAGGGCCCCAATGTCATCAAGGCAGAGCATTCCATGACAACACAGAATTGCATCCTCATATTTGGTGACATCATATGTATGTGGCTGTGTCTCTGTGTGCAACCAATTATTGTTGAGAGTCAATAACATCTCTTTACTCAGAACCACATCAACAAGCAACTCAGCAGCAAAAGCCTGAGTGCAGACAGTGCATCCCCCCTCCTGCAAATGGTGAGAGGACATCTCCACCTGCCACTCTCAAATAATCTCATGCTTTGCTGCAAATGATTGTACAGGTGGGAACATGGAGAACAGAGGAGGTTCAGCAGGAGTGCCCACTGGAGCCAGACCCTCTAGCACATTTGCTGCATGTTGCTGCCATTGCATCTTAGTGTTTTCCTTCGCTTTCATGTAACACTCATTGGGATAGGAGTTGCATGGCTGATACAGGTCAGGCATGAATATATAATTCTGCTGTGGACACTTTAGGGCATGAAATACATACATCACACAAGGACAGGATCCTCCACAGTCATGCAAGCATAGAGCATCTTTACACATCCTCTGCTGCAACCTTCTGTGCAACATTGTTACACACCATGAATCTCCACAATTGCCCTCAGATGAGCCACCAAAAAAAACAGAAACTGTTCAATCAATTCATGCACACTTGAAGGAATGCATGTGAGATAGGGACCTAAGGGATTCTCAGAGAGCTAGTTTATCACATCTGTAACTGTAAGATGATCAAAAGAATATTCCCAATGAAGAAACTCATAGGAAACATTGCATGCACCATCCAAGTCCCCAGAGTTAACCACCATGTGGTGCATGCCACTGTCCTTGTCCACTTGGACCTGAGTCACCAGCATATCACAGGACATCATTGACACTGGTGCATGGAAAGATCCCCCAAATATCAAGCCACCCCCATAACTCCCATGCTTTCCCTAAATGGACGAACTGGCATTTCCAGTCTGGCAAAAACACAGGGGACAAAACAGTTTTCAGACCTGGACCAGGATGTGTCCAGGAACACTACAAACACCACACCACACTATACTTTTTGGGTAGCAAAAATGTGGTCACTACACAACAAATGCTACACTACACCACACTCTTTTGGTAATGAAAAATGCAGACATTACACTTTTTTTATAATAAAAAATGTGACACTACACAACACCACCTGACTTGTCCAGTATTCAAAAATGCAGACACTATGCAACTCAACACTAATTAGGTAATCAAAAAAGCGGACACTACCCAACAAACCACTACTTTTTGGTAGCACAAAATGTAGAGCCACAGGAAGTAGTCACATAATGATGATGTCCTAATGAAAGATGTAGTGCCTGATTTTCAGATCATGAGACTCTGCTTACCTCGTCATTAAGTGTAAAAATGCATGAGAAAAACACAAAATACTGGGAAAATCACAAGTCTTTCAACACATTATGTCATCAGATTGTGGTGACATCAGAAGTAAACTTGTAGCCCCTGACAGGATGATCACAACAATGTGCTTGCCTTGTCATGATTCACAAAGGTGAGTGAGCTACAGGCAAAAGAAGTTCTACTTGTAAATCACCACCAACTCACTACTACCTAGCACTATCTGGTAGCAAGTAATAACTGCAAATACCAACTATACAGACTACCAACTATAACTACCTAATGTGATATTAGTGTGCTTACTCAGTTTCCAACTCTATTTGACTCATTCTGTGATATTTTGACTGTCCTTGACTCATTCATTGCCATGGGGGGGAGCACAGCTTATGACAAATGAGGCACAAATGCTTGGTAAGTAATGAGTAAGGACTGAGTAATCATGATGAGTAAGTGAGAAATGAAAAGTAAGCAAGCAAAGAGGATTGGTAAGTATTGGCAATGAATGAGTCAAGGACAGTCAAAATATCACAGAATGAGTCAAATAGAGTCAGAAACTGAGTAAGCACACTAATATCACATTAGGGGGTGGTGATGCAAGTCAGATCTTAGCAGAGACATCTCTAGATCCAAAGATGGCATGACAGATGGATGGTGATTCCAGATAGGGAAGTATTAATTCCAGAATTGAAGGGCATGAGTCAGGTGTCAAAGGGGCTAGGGTATCAGGGGTCTATGGGGCAATGGGAGCATACACAATCATGTCTCCCACCCATTCATCCTCTCAGTGAAGTTAACAAAAACTTCATGAATGGGGCTCTGATGGAGAGGAGGAGAAGGGGGGATGACCTCTGCTGGATCCTGCAGTAAGAAGGCAAGATGCACATCATACTTGTCATGGATGCAATCAGGGAGGCTGGAGAACAGTAGATTATGCTGCAGCTGTTGCAATGTGGGGAGAATGATGGACAAGATTGGAATAAAGACAGTGCAGGGAGCAGGGAGGAATGATCCATATGCTTCATCAAGAGGGGAGACTGAAACAACCACAAAAGACCTTTCTAACCAAGTGACAGAACTGTGGTGACCAAAGAACATCCTTCTGGAAGTCATACTGACAAGGAGAACATACTGACCAAGCTGCATGGGACAGGATGGGGCTGACAATGATGGAATGAACCAGGGGGCTTCAGGACAGAAGCTGGTGGGAACACCTGGCAGATATATGTAGCCACTGTCTCTGGCAAATGAGACAAGTGAGATGATTGATGAAGAGGTGGCCATTATTGATGGACTTAGCAAAATGAGCATCTGATGGATGGAGTGCTGTAGAAATGTGTAGGGTGTGAGGATCCTCTCCAAATTTGGAAGGCAGAATCATGTGGCTGAGCACTTTAAGCATGTTTGAGAATGGAGTTGATATCTTTGGAAATGGTGGAGATACAATGAAAATTGGAATGCCATACATGGGTGCTAAAAACTTTTAATGTGTGCTTAACTCACTTCCTCTTTTCTCTTTAGCACTGACAACTCATTCTTGTGTGAAGGATGACTGTTCATGTCCAGCAGTCTTTCTACACATGAGGCCTTTAGTCTTCATCTCCATGGCATGGGCATTGCACACAACTCATCAATGAGTTAGGCAGAGTCAGCTGTAACCATGTCCACAACACCTTTGGTGTGTGACACTGCCAGCATAGCAAATCGGTCAGTGATTGTCCATTCCCCCATACTTGTATCCCTGTTGTTGAGCAATGACATGATCAGATTCTTCTCAACATCTTCAAACTTCCCCTCAAGGACCCCAGCATGAATTGTTGTGAGCTTACAAAGGATTGTTGCATAGTGCCATGCTCCCAATGGTGAGGATATATCCAGCTTTTCAACTAGCCATTCAAAGAGATGGACAATCTGCAGGCCAGTAAAAAGTCAAACAGGAATCAAGTGCTTGGTATGCCACATACATTCTCATCACTTTGTAGGACTGCCACAGGCAGGGACACAACAGAACCATTGGCCTCAACCCCATATACAGGGAAGTCCATGACACCCATGGCCTGCAAGAACTTGACCAACGCAGTGAGGTACATCCTGAGCTGGTTCATTGCTTGCACCAGACTACCTGATGTCTTCTTGTACTCCACTGTGATCAGGGGCAAATCTAAAAGCAGACCCTTTCCCTTAATCTTTGAAAGCTTTAACTGAGAAGTTATGGTGTCCATGGAGGTTTCTATGGCCCCCACAGCCTGAAGGGAAGATAATGCCACTGTGGAAATTGTTGGGTTTCATTACAGTGGGCACCACTGCCATTGTGACCAGAAGTCTCGGTGGCATTGCCATGCTGGTAATGCCTGGCATCTTTCCACCTGAAGGCTTTGCTGCATCACTGGCCCCAGCCCCATCTGATGGAGGGGCACAGATGAGTGGGAACTGGCCAAGATCTTCAGCTGATACATCTGAGAGCCTCACCTGCAAATGCCCAATTGCATCACATTTTCTGTCCTTTGGAAACCCTCCAAGTCTTATCACCATGTCAGATTCTTTCTGTCTCCCTTTGTGTCACCCAGTGCGGAAACTGGGAAGCAGTGTAGGTCCAACCAGCTAGTTTGATGGTGGAAGGTCAAGCCCTTTCTTCTGTTGTGGTGCTCACACTAGGATGTGCTGTGAGCCACTCTCTGGTGGCATGAAAATCAGAAGGAAGTAGGGTATCCATTGATTCCTTAAAGTCCTCTGGGATGGGTTGCAGCAGAGCACTCTTGGGAAAGCAGAGGGTAGTTTCAAGACTAGAATGCATTTATGTCAACAATGACATACATTGGGCAAACTTGTTGATCTTCAAGATCTGCAGTGAATGTGGCATCACCTGAGAAAGTTCTACCATTGTGCTTAACAAGACATATGAAGAAGTCAAACAGAAGACAATCAGGGCCATGATGCCACAATACTTTACATTGATCACCATTATCCTTCTTTTCATGGGAACAGTGTGACATTTGGAAGATTGCAGAGAAACTCTCTTCAAGGATTCACAGGTCAACTGGGAATTCATCTGGATGCCAAAGTTTCACTGCATTTTTGGACTTGAGAGCAGAAACAGTAGTGAATACTTCTTGGACACATGGCTCAAGTGCAGTGTCAATGGGTGGCAGATCTTTCTGCAGGTAACAATGAAAAAAATGGAAATACACAACATACAATGATGCACTCTGTCAATCCACATCTCCAGCCAAATCAAGCCCATCATTGCGATGTATTCACAATGGAACTGCTCATCCAAAGATGAGAGAGACTGTGGTGCTACTTGTTGCTTGAATAGCCAACCAAATATCCTGTTATCAGTGGCCTCCAAGGTGTTCACAAAGCTACCCAATAAAATGCTCATCAAGGATGAAAAGTGGCCTGTGAAAATACATACTGGGAGCATGCCAGTGGCCAAAGGAAAGTTGGAACAGCATCAGACATTCCACTGGAAGGTGGGCCTGCCTTGTCCCTGCCTTCATTGGATGTAATGATTACCCTAGGTGGCCAATGATTACAAAATGACACCACTGTGAGATAACACTCATGGGATGGGTGCATGAGGGGATGGATCTGTACCATGCTCACAGCCTCCTGACAATATATTCCTAATGGTCTGTTGGAGAGGGTGGAGAAAGAAAAAGAGAGAACAAATTCTGAATGTTCCTGGCTCTCCTGCCACTTTATAATCCTATCCCACATGATCTCCATCTTTGAAGGGAAAACAGTGTCTTCTTCCTGAACATCCAAACTAATCCACTAAGAACAGGCCATGTGGGTGTGGGTCTTGGCAGCAACGGTGCCCACAACATTCCTAACTGCATCACAGATGCTAAATATGGGTGCCTCTGGGCTCATGAACAGCCATGAGACCACAAGAGATATGAGCAGTGATGATAAATCCAGGGTGACAGATGTTTTGATGCTGCCAAGATGCACATGTGGCTCAACATGAGGTCAGTTTCAGGGGAGTCAGATGAATGCTAGGTGCTCACAAGGATATGGTCTGGAGTGGCATCCTCTAGCCATCCAAGGTACAGATGGATTATCATGTCATATTTTGAGAATTCTATTCCAATCAATGGGCCCTCGATGTGCCATACACATCACTGGTAGAGTAGACTGGTCATCACCACTGGAAGGTGCTCCTCAGTGGCCATGCAAAGCACAGGTATGTGACACAAAGATGGTGGAGGGACAGATGGAGGATGCACAAGGAAATGGGCCTTGAATTCTGGTGAGAGAACCTGAGCTGTGGGATCTTCCTCAATGTCTTCCTCCACCTCTTCAATTGTAGTGGGCAGTGCAAGGAACTTGGACATTGTGACTGATGGTGGCAACTGCACTGGCCAACATACATTGCTAGATTCCTCCTGCTCTGAGTGTTCATTGCCATTGTGTTCTTCATCTGCAACAGGCATTTTCTGGCAGATTGAAATGACAAGTGGTGCACTGAGACTCTTTGTGATGTACAGTGGCTCACAAAATTGTCCCAATGTTTGCATGTTTTTCATTAATCATGGTGTAGCAAGTGAACTATCATTATTGAGTCCAAGATGTTGGTGGATGGATCAAAGCAGCTAGCTGGTCATGGCTCTCTGATGAGCCATACTCCCAGCATGCCAAATTGACCAGCATATGTATCTGTCTGGGTGAAGCTCAGACATCATTCACCATATGTATGGAACTAGGAGAGGAACAGCTATCCTCCATCAGATGGCATGAGACCATGCTATTGCTGGAGGGACACAATCAGTGGTGGATTTCCAGAAGACAGAGGACCCCCTGACAATGATGGAGATGGTAACAGTGTGAGTCAAAGTGTGGAAAGGTAGTGTAAACCAACCAAAACCAACACCAAAGACAAATAAAAGGCAAGTGGTGGTGTACCTCTGCAGAACCTTGAAGGCAAAAAATCTGAAGTGGGGAAATTTCAATGGCAGGTGCTCCTAGCACAAGTCATCAATGAGTTGTGCAGGAGTGGATGAGCAAGTGATGACTGGATGGGGATGCTGAGTAGAGTGATGAGCTTCAGTGGGATGTGCTCCTGGCACAAGTTGTTGACAAGTTGGACAGGAGTGAATGGATGACTAAGCAAATTTGTTGACTAAGTGTGGATGAGACTGCAGATAATGAATGCTGTTAGATAGACCCTTCTGAATGAGCCTCAACTACCAAGGATGATGAACAGTGACAGATAGACTCTTCTGAATGAGCCTCAACTGTTGATGACAAGTTATGCTGAGAAGAACTGAACTGACTGACTGGATGGCTTCTGATTACTTGATTGATTCTTTGGTTGTAGCTAAGTACAGGGGGTTTATATACTGTGGGGGGGAGCACAGTTATGACAAACAAAGCACAAATGCTTGGTAAGTAATGAGTAAGGACTGTAAGCAGTGAGTAATCCTGATGAGTAAGTGAGAAATGAAAAGTAAGCAAGAATAGAAGGATTGGTAAGCATTGGCAATAAACAAGTCAAGGACAGTCAAAACATCACAGTATGAGTCAAAGTATGTCAGAATCTGAGTAAGCACACTGATATCACATTAGGGGGTGGAAATGCAAATCAGATCTCAGTGGAGACATCACTAGATCCAAAGATGGCATGACAGATGGACAGTGTTTCCAGATAGGGAAGTATTAATTCCAGAAAAGGATGGCATGAGTCAGGTGTCAAAAGGCTTGGGCATTGGGGGTCTGTGAGGTAATGGGAGCATAGGTGACCATTTCTCCCACCCATTCATCCTCTCAGTGAAGTCAATAACTACTTCATACATGGGGTTCTGATGGAGGAGAGGGAGAAGTGGGGATGTCTTCTGCTGGGTCTTGCAGTAAGAGAGCTCATTGGGACAATTATGTAACTTTGTGATATAATGGGGATGTAGTCCTTGGGAACACATATAAAACATGGTGAGATGCTCACCAATGCTTACATAATGTACCAAGTGGTCTACTGAATTATTTATCAACAAACAAACAATGCCAAACAGTGATTTTGCACCACTAAGCCTCCTCACTGTAACACAAGTCAAGAAATCACCATTCTGGCTCATCAGGGACATTCTCTCAGGCCAACCTCAGCAAATGCTGGTGTACACTATAATATAATCAGTAGAATATGCTATCAGCACTATTGGTCTCTTCAGAAACCTGCTGGCAGTCATCTCCTGCACTGTTTCCCCAACAATGCCCCATGTGTCCTGGAACTAATCAGTATTGTGAGAGCTGAGAATGATGTGGAGGTCCAATCTGGCATTCATCCTATCATAAACAAACCAATCACCCATTAACTAGTGCATTTCTGTGAAGGGGGAACTGGTATGGAGGTCAGGGTGAAGCTAAACCCTCTCTCACTCCAGGTACCATGGGAGGGATATGCTGCTGAGCTATGAGGTTGCACTTTCCTGGCCTTCTATGAGAATGAGCTCTATATAATGATGCTCAGATAACTCTATGGTTCCTGTGTCATGATCTCATATAATCTCCATACTGAGGATCCACTGACCCTTGCATAAGTCAGAGAGGTTATACTCAGCTGATAGTTGGACTTTGAGGTGGTCAATGGCCTCACAGCTCTTTGAGAGGATTAGTTTGTTGTCAATGTAGACAGCAACTATAATTAGAATTCCATTTTTGTCTTTGTAGAAAAGACTGTGGTCAGCACCACTGCATGTGAACCTGAGAGATTCAACAACTTCTCATAGTTGATTGTACCAAGTTTTCAGAGCCTGTTTTAGTCCATAGAGAGCACAATAGAGGTGCCAAATGATGTCACTTGAGTCTTGGAAACCAGGTGGAGGACAGAGATATATTTCCTCCTCAAGTTTTCCATTTGGGAAGGTGGACTTTACATGCATCTGGTGGATCTCCAAATTGTACTTAGCAGTGAGAGCAATGTGAGTCAAAGTGTGGAAAGGCAGTGAAAACCAACCAAATCCAATACCAAAGACAAATACAGTGGCTCAAAAAACTGTCCACATGTTTGTATGTTTTACATTAGCTATGACTAAACACAATAACCCCTAACCCTAGCCCTAAACCATGAGTGTATGAAATAAGGTACTTACTCTTGGATTTCTATTGGTCCATGAATCAAGTGATTTGGATAGGAATTGATAGAATAGCAGCCATTTGAAAATGACATGTCATGCAGACAGTTTTTTGACTTAAAGTTTTGATTATATATATTGACCCTGGCATGCTGTTATATTGTTACATACATCCATCAAGGGTTCTATTATGTTTCCTTTATGTAATGAGTATGATCCAACATATATAAACCCCATCACCCTCTGCTCATTTTCTCATCATCACCATGAAGTCCATTTCCATCTCTCAAAGACAAAACATCATCTCTCTTGCCTCTCTTGGCCTGTCCACTAGGAAGATTGCCTCACAGACTGGTCTAGGGAAGTCTATGGTATCCCAGGTTCTTCAGGAAATCCAACCAGAGAGGTCTAGGCTTCATGGTGGTCACCCTTCCAAGCTTTCCTCTACCAACAAGAGAGCTGTTGTTCAGCAAATCCTTACTGGCAAGGCCAAAAATGCTGTTCAAGCCAAGATAGTCCTGTTTCTTCTCAGACAGTGAGAAATACCCTCAAAGAAGCCTCATTGAAGGCTGTGTTGAAGAAGAAAAAGCCATTGCTTTCTACTAGTCACAAGAAGAAGAGGTTAGCCTTTGCTCTCAAGTATCAGCATTGGACTGTGGAGGACTTGAGGAGAGTTATATGGTCAGATGAGACAAAAATCAACAGGATTGGGTCAGATGGACAAGAGTATGTGTGGAAAAAGAAGGGTGAAGGGCTTACTTCCAGAGAGGTTAAAGGTACAGTCAAGTTTAGAGGAGGTTGACTCATGGTTTGGGGATGTATAGGGTGAAATGGTGTTGAGCTCTTGAGTGAGGTTGAGGGAAGGATGGATACTGAACAGTATGTGGCCATTTTGCAGGAAGGATTGCTTCAAAGCATGGAGGAATCTGGAATTCCAGAAGATGACATTATCTTTCAACAAGATAATGACCCCAAGAATACCTCTAGAAGAGCCCAGAAATGGTTTGAAGAGCAGGATATCAAGCTTCTAGACTGGCCTGGACAATCTCCAGACCTCAAACCAATTGAACACACTTGGAATCACCTCAAAAGATCTCCCTCAGGTTATGAGAGTGCTCCTACTGTTAGGATAACCACAAACTGAGGCCACTTGTGCCCAGTGTAAGAGACTGAAGAAAATTTCACTGGGCACACAGCAGTAAGTGCACAAAGATGATAAACAAATGTAAACAATAAACAAAAGCAAACCAAGGACACTTAGAGCAAAGCTAAGTGTCCACTACATGTCTGTAGGGTTAGATAGAAATAAAACAAAGGAAAAATGCAATCTGAGGTGCACAGGCACCTAATATGAACACCTACAGAAGTTCATCGATTATGGGAAAGGGTGGTAGTGGAGTGGGAGAAGATTTCTGTGGAAGAGTGTCAAAAATGGATAGAAAGCATGCCTAGAAGGGTTGAAGCAGTTATCAGGGCCAAAGGAGCTCATACCAAGTACTAGATAGTTGGATTTTTATAAAGTCAAAAAACTGTCCACATGACATGTCATATTCAAATGGTTGCTATTCTATCAATTCCTATCCAAATCACTTAATTCTTGGACCCATAGAAAGCCAAGAGTAAGTACTTTATTTCATACACTGATGGTTTAGGGCCAGGGTTAGGGGTTATTGTATTTAGTCATAACTAGTGTAAAACATGCAACATGCAGACACTTTTTTGAGCCACTGTATGTGCCCAGTCCCATCACACACAAACCTGCAGCTCCTCCATGGTCTTCTGTGTCTACTGCCAAAATGACTGCCACACCAGCAATGACAGGTAATGCCCTGACTTCATCAAATGCTGCAATGCACTAAATGACCATACCCCAGAAAACAGAATGCCATACTTCCCCACTGTGGAAGAGTGGACACAAGTTGAACTACCCCAACATCCCCTAGATCCCATCAAATGGACCAGACCCCCCCCCCCAAATCAACTCACCACCCAGGGACAACTAAGACAGATGACCCCAGGCAAGGCCATGAGCATCTGCAACCATGCCCTCAAGCATGGCCAACACACATCAGTAAATCACTTTTGCTGGTCAGAGCTGTCCAGAGCTGTCCAGCACTGGACAGATTCCCTAGGACTGCCAGCACACAAAGTGGTTTACTGATGCATGGTAAGAGGGAGAAGAGGAGGTCTGCCCCCTCATGCTCAAACTCTACTCCACCCCCTACCACCCTGCCCTGCCTTCCAGCCTGCTCTGGCAGTACCCTTTCCAGCAGAAGCACTCCCTAACCCTACCCCCAATGATGCCTGAAAACCACACACAAGACAATGCACTAGCTAAATTACACATATGGCAACAGAACCTTAATACA